CCACAGCTTCTCTATCCATTCATTTGTTGATGGGCACTTAGGTTGTTTCCAACTCCTTGCTATTGTGAACAAAGCTGCAATAAACATGAGTGTGAATTCTTGAGTTATTTTTGACATCCAGTTTACAGAGAAATCACTTCTGTTCTATCAGAGGCTCTTGGTGGCCCCAAGGCACTCTGAGAAGCAGTGGCTCCTTCGCTGAGGATGTCCAATATGGTTTCATATACATGGTAAAGTTGGAAAACACACACAGCCCACCACAGCTGTCCACTTGCCCTGAGATTACCCAAAACACAGAATTAACAGAGTTGTTGAGTGGTGTGACTGGTTAGCACGCTTGACCACTAATCCAAAGGCTAGAGGTTTGAGTTCACCCAGAGGCACCTCAGAAGAAAGACCTGGAAAACTGGGAGCACAGTTCTACTCTGAGATGCCCAGGGTCATGGTGTGGCAGGGCAGCTTTAAGGTCAAGGTCGTGTCTGTGACAAGCCTTGCTGGCCACCTCTGCCTCCTGGATCTCCCAGGCTGAGCAGATTCTCATCTTTGAGGCTGTTGCTAGGGGTCTTGGCTCCTTCAGCAAACTTCCTTGGCAAAAGGGCTGTTTCAGAAGCCGCGGTACCCCTCTCCCACCCTGGTCCCTATTAAGTGCTTGGCACACAATTCTCTAATAAAGGCCTGTAGACTACTGTTTTTCTTTTTTTTTTTCATTACAAATTGACATTTCTAACAACAGTCAGGAGTGTAGGTGACCTTCCTGACAGAAATGCCTCTTTGGTAAAGATGAAATGTGAGTATCCGGAAGACAGAATCAGAATTCACTCCAGTCCCGTTGGCTCTGAGTCAGGGGCCTGGAGGATAGTATAAGGCGGCCTGCTGGGGTCTACAGGGACCCGACACTCACAGGAGTAGACTCCCTCAGCCTTGTCCCATGGAGCGGCTGGTGGATTCGAACTTTGAATGACTGACTTTGGTTAGCAGCCCAGCTATTAACTCAGTGCCCCTGCAGGAATTCACAGCAGCGCCCTGGCACAGATTCCGGGGCACACTGATCCCTCTGAGGTGTCCCTAGAAGCATCAACATGCTTAGAAGAAGGTCAGAGTTTTAAGTTCTCTCAAACCCACGTCACAAAAGAGGCCTGGTGACCTACAGAAAATTCAGCCACTGTTCAGAATATACTGGTCCGTATTGCGATGGGAAAGTCTGCTGTTAGGGACCTCTCTAAAGTACTCAAGAGCAACGGTGTCTCTCTGGAGACTTAAGGT